TTTGGGGGGTAATGAGGGTGTTGGGGGGGTGTACCGGGTATTGGGGGCCGGTGTGGGGGTGTTGGTGGTGTTATTAGGGGTTCTGGACCCAATATATATATATTATTACTATTATATATATATTTTTGTGGGGTGCCGACAACCCCCAACCGGTAGGTGCCGACCAGCCAAGGGCCCCCGACCATCGGAGGGTGCAACCCTGCTGTGTACCCAATACAAGACATTCGATGTTACAGCAGTTGATTCCAAATGGAAAACGATTCCAAATGGATTCCACGAGAGGCTTTTCTTGACTCACCACACTCCCCTTTCAGCTCCATCCATGTTCGAAGACCTTCACTGTTGACGTCACAACTTCTCGGTGGATTTCACGAGTAGGATTTTTTTATTTATTTTTTTCCCTTTCCAAAAAGGTCCATGTTGTGGTAGAGGGTGGATGCTAGGGATTTGGCGAGTTGTTACATCTTGTTGATTTTTTTTTTTTTTTTTTTTTTTTTTTCGGTTGACTGCTATGCATTCTTTACTTTAAAGAGTCTTTTAAGACTCTTAACCGACTCTTAACCGATTGTTATGGCAAATCGTCCAATGCTCACTCATCTGTACCTTCGCTGAAGCTTCAGCCGGTAGCTTGGGCAACGGCCACGACCTTCCTCAAATACTGGGCAAATTTCCACAGATATGAAATCCGACGGCAAGTGAAATCCAAGAAACTGTCGGACAAGATCCAAGAACTTGCAAAAAAGAATGACGCAAAGTTGTAAAGCTGTAAGATGTGTACCTAGGGGTGGGGAGTAAAAAAAAGAAGGTGGTAGGTACGCACACAGTACATACCTAGGAATCCTTGATTGCAACAGCTGGAGCATTTTGTCAACTGAATACAGTGAATAGATTGATGAAAAAAGGACAGCAAGAAATTATCTTCTTTGAAAACAGATCACGAGAACTCCAACTTCTTCCAACTTGATTGCATGTGAACTGGCAAATCGGCAACGACGACTCTTACAGCACCTGATTGGGAAGAAGAGCTTTCACGTATCGACCTCCTTCCTCTCCTCTTAGCCTTCTCCCTTGACTGGCTTTTGCTATCCTTAGTCTTTGCATCCGTCAAGCTCCACTCGCTCAAAACCTCATAACACTGTCTCTCTGAACTTTTCTGCCTATGTGATGCCCTCCCATGCGATCCATCCTCCTCCTCCTCCTCATTACCACCACCATCATCATTTTCAACTTGGTCCCGCTGGGTCCGTCTGCACTTGTTGACATCCTGCCATGGGAAGAGATGCTCATTCTCATCAGATTTGGTTTCCTGTTCAAGTAGCGGATCGGCAAGCAAAGGGATCGTCACAAGTCTGCAGTGAAGATGAAGCCATGGCGACGATGACCAGACGTTCCCTCTCACGTCATCCCCCTCTCTCATGCCGTCCGCATCTGAAACACTGCAATGAACCTCAGCATGTGAGTCAGTTTGCGACAGCTGTTCTGTGTTCATGTCGACAGTGGTGACGCTTCCCCATGGATCTGCATCGACACCTTCTTGCGGTTCTTCCATTGCCAGCTGCACCGAACAGGGAAGCGATGCCAGAGGAGGATCTCTCCATCCATCCCCAGAGAAATGAGCAGATTGGAATTGTTTGGGCACATCACAACTTGTCGGCATGAAAGCGGACCTAATCTCATCCGGAATTAGTTGCTCCATTGCCACCGGGTTCCATGCATGCAAGGTACCATCTATGGACTCGTTCGCATTACGTAATTGCTGTCTTCCTCCTCCACCTAACGATGAGAATAAAGACGATGATGACGATAACAATAGCGATGATGACGACGATAATGACAATGATGATGAAGACGATGATGATGATGATGATGATGATGATGATGATGATGATGAAGACGAAGACGAAGAACATGAATGTTGCTTGAGATTCAAAGTTGATAACGACTCTTCCTTCCCTGCTGCCAAACACTGTGTCTCCTCCATGTCATCAGTTGACGATGACTTGCTTGTCTTGCTGGCCATTTTCTTCTGGGATTTCCAACCATATCTGGAGTCTCCGACAATTGGTGTTCCAAGAACGGAGGAACAATGAACTCTGATCTGTTCCAGGTTTAGGAAAGAGAAAGAGAAAGAGGAAACTGGTAAGAATGACTGTGTCACTATCATGGACTCATCGTTCTTTGTTGTCCTTCATCAAGGCTTAAGAGTAAAAAAAACGTAACAATGAGGCAAAAAAGAGGGAAGGGAAGAGAGTAGCGTTGGGCATGAGCGAGACTTGGAAGTACATGGCATTATCATGGAGTTAGTCCTCTGAATCTAAGGCTGTTTTTCCGGGCGCCCAGGCACCCAACTTCTGCCCGGGTACACGCCTGGGTGCCCGGCCGGGCATGAACCCCGGGCAGGGTTCTGGGCAGACCCAGCGCAAAAAAAAAACAAAAAAAAACAAAAAAAAAAACGGAAATTTCGGAAAACAAATATGTTGTGCAGAATTGAAATATAAACGACTTTTGGCCGAGGGTTACATTATAATTCCTCACAGAATCGGAGATGAAAAAGAAAATAACAGAATCACACAAAGGCACCCCCCTTTAAACACCTTTAGCCCCTTTAAAACCAACTCATCCCCCCCCCCTCCCTCTCCTTGACAGCCAACTCGCAAAAAAGAAATGAGCCCAGATTCGGGGTCCTCTGGGAGAGCGCAGAAAACCCATACTCCAGGCGTCACGCCCCAGTGCCCGCCCGGGGAGGACCGGCCGGGCGTGAGAATCTTCCTAGCTCTGAATTCCATTATAAAAATCAATCGTTCGTTATGTTACTCCAAAACTAGTTTATGCTTCTCCATAGTATCGTGAACTATATTCCTTCGAAGGGCCTTTACTCGTTTTCAGCATTTTTTGAATTTTTTTCATTGATTAAATCGATTTACAATATTTTGGCTAGGTAACCCCTTCGAACTTTTGCCTGCACCTGGACATTTTCCTGACCTTCCAGATTTTAATGGATTTACAATGTTTTTATACAATTTAAAATGTCTTGATCCAGGCCTTCCAGATTTTAATGGATTTACAATGTTTTTATACAATTTAAAATGTCTTGATCCAGGGCGGGGATGACTCTTCAAATCTTTCCTATTCCAGCTTATTACAGTCAACCTATGAAATCTGGGGAGGGAGCAAGAGGTACACCCAAAGGAAAAAAAATAACAAAAAAAAAAGAAGTTCAGAAAACAGGATATTTTCAGACACTACACTACCAGTTACAGCTTCACAGGATTCATCCCCCCCCAAAAAAAAGAACAAAAAAAAAAAGGAAGTTTAGAAAAAACTTCAAAAAAGGACATCTACAGAGGATACGGAATAAAATGGGGTACAGTACCCACTCAAAAAAGAACAAAAGTACGCATGGGGCAAAAGAAAACATCGAAGGCAATTAAAAAGGGGAAAAAAAAATAAAAAATAAAAAAAGACAAAATAGTAAAATACTTTAAACCACTAGTACCTCCGAGGAGTCCGAGCCTATTTTCGACAAGTACTGGTCTACCTCCGAACTTTCAGGAGGCCGAGCCCGCCGTTGATAAATCTGATCAGCGGCCGTCGTTTCGTTTCGGCCTCCTGAAAGGTCGGCAGCCGAGTATTTTCGAACCGACAAAGGTACTAGTGGTTTCAGTAAGCAAGGTACACATGTGAAGAAAACGCCTTACTGACCATTGGCTGTGAGTTCTTCCCCCTACCTCCTTTTCCCCTTTGTCCGATGCAAAAGAAGGCGGCTGTCCTCACAATCTGTGTCCCATTTCCCTTCCCCCACGGCGAATGGCCTTCTTCTCCCTATTGTCCGTTCAGGACCTCTCTCAATGCTTATTTCAGCATCTCTTCTCCCATCTGCCCCATCATTGTTCTCCGTTCTGCCCCTCTTAAGCGAGCATGCCACTCTCGGATTACTCTGCAAGAGATCTTCTTGCAGTTTCTTCCTGCGCCTTGCTGGTAATAAGCAACCGGACTGCAGCCCCCCAGAACAGAAGGGGCACTCTTTCACAAAAAAAAAAGAAGAAAAACAAAGAAAAGAAAAGAAAAAGAAAGGAAATCGAAAGGTTCAACACAGCAGTTCTCCCATAACTGCATGTGAATCATCTCTTGATGTGAAGATGAATGGTCTGGTTGTTGTTTCATAGGGGTTTTGACTGCTTGAACTTTTAGGGTCAGGCATTGTTTCTAAGATGAATGGAAAGGTTCAAAAGACCCGTGCTCCCGTAACTGCATGTGAATCATCTCTCGATGCGATCTCTCTCCTTCCTCTGGCAATTGCGCTGTTCGCATATGTCTCTCTGTAGTTCCTTCGCCATCTCTACCACAATTCCTTCCCATCATTATCCCCCCTACCTTCTCCTCCTCCTAGCGCCTGCAATTAAGAAGAAGAACAAAAGAAGGTTGCGCGTTCTCGTCCTCCACATCACTCTCCTCCTCCTCCCTAACTGAAAAAGATGCATCTGATCAGATTGCCGGTTTTTTCACCCCCTTCCGGGTATTGCCGGTTAAACAAGACAGTCCCTCAACGAAAGAGATGTTCTCCTCCTCATCCACCTCCACATCCAAATATTCTTCCACTTCCCCATCCTCCATAAACAAAAAACTGTGTTTCCCTCCTCCTCCTCCTCCTTCTCCTCCTCCTCCTCCTCCACACCCACTTATTTTTCCACTTCCCCATCCTCCATAAACAAAAACTGTGTTTCCCTCCTCCTCCTCCTCCTCCTTCACCCTCATCGAAAAAGGCGCACCTGATCATCCACTTTCTCCCCCCCCCCTTCTGGGAATTTCTATTTGCTCCCTCAACAAAACAGATTTTCTCCTCCTCCTCCTCCACCTCCACTTGTTTCTCCTCCATAAACAAAAATTGTGTCCCTCCTCCTCCTCCTCCTCCTCTTCTATGTGACTCTCCCCCTTAGCTTGAACGACAACAAAAAGTTTTTGCTGTCCTACACCTTTTCCTCCTCCACATACTCCTTGCCCTCCTCCAGCTTCTACCACACGCTTCCCCCTTGCCGACTCCTCTCCATTCCACATGCTAAGACCACACTGGCATATGCCGAATAATAAAGGGAACGAAAAAGTTGCTTTCGCACAAAAAGCGAAAAGAGGATTTCTGCCGCGCAAAAGGTTGCAGTCGCACAAAAAGCGAAAAGGATTTCCTTATCTGAGCCGCAAAAGCATCAAGCACTCATAACTAAACTTTGACAGTTCATAAATGAAATGTCCCTCCTCATCTTCTCCATGTAACAGCCGTTACCCTCCTCCTCCTCCTCCTCATACATGTGTCATTTAAAAAAAGTCCCCAACAAAAAGGACGTGTCCACTATCCACGTTTTGCTCCTGCTCTTCATCTTCGTCATTTACAGAATTTTGTACAAAACCATTGATCAACAAAATAGCCTCATCTGTGCAACCGTCCTCCTCCTCCTCTTGAACGACAAAGGAGAAGGAGTGTCTGTACTTAACAGAAGCCCTTCACTAAAAAGATGTATTCATCATTTAAGAACTAAGAAAGAAAAGGCGCATTCCCAGGATCCATATTCTTTTCCCACTCCCGCTCCTCATCATCTAAATGAAACCACCCCTCAACAAAACAGCAGCATTCGTTCTCCCCGTATTCCCCTTCCCCTGCCCTCCCCCCTCACCACTCAACCTGGCAATATCACTCTGTCCCAGGTCGTCATGCAAATCTCTCTCTCTCTCTCTCTCTCTCTCTCTCTCTCTCTCTCTCTCTCTCTCTCTCTCTCTCTCTCTCTCTCTCTCTCTCTCTCCCCCCAAGGATGTGGGACTGTGATCCTTCAATCAAGACAGCAAGAAAACCAAGGCGCAAAAACCTGCACGTAACCCACCTGGTGTTTCCTTCCTGTTAAAGGCCACAGCTCCAGCCACGCGAATCCTGCTTTGCATCACTCGTTCGCAAAAAAGGCATACCGCATCAAACGAATGAGCACACCCCATTACCGCAAACCAAATTTCAGCCATACAGTCCTTTTCCTGGTCTGAAACGATACTGACACTTACTGTAGAACATCTAGAAAAAGTTGAAAAAGTCAGAAAAACACATACCATTTGACTTTTCACGGGGGCTCATTTGACGCCTCGTGAACCACAGTGGTCAACTCTGTCCTTCAGGACGTCCGTTGAAACGGGAGTACTATACAAAGAGAAAAAGATTAGCATCACCCCTGCATAAGGATGGCATAAATTGCAAAATTATTCAGAGATTGGTAGATTTCTGAAGTACTTGATTTTTGCATTCTAAGCAGATCAGCACAGAGTTCAGACAGTCCACGTACCACCAGCCAATGACATGATTACAGCATATCAGCCCCATTGCCTCTGTAGCCTGCCATGCACAAACACATCTGTCCACCGCTGCAAAGATTGGACTGGATTGCTTGGAATTGGTAGGTCAAGGGTCCAGCCCTTATTGCCCTCGTCAGCTGCCACGCTCCCCCCCAAGTGGCGGAACCAACTAGCCTCGTAAATTTGCCCTTCCACACCCGAGAGCGGCGAGGGGGGAAAAAAACGAAGAAAGCAAATAGTGAAGGAAACTGAGAATGGTGGATGGAGAACATAATACAAAAAACAACGACAAAAACAGCAAGAAGAGGGAGAAGAAAGATGGAAGAAGAAGGAGGAGGAGAGAAAGAAGAAGAGGTGGAAGAAGAGGAAGGAGAGAAAGAAGAAGAGGTGGAAGAAGACGGGACAAGGGCTGACCGGGTCCGGTTGTACAGCCGTACACAGACATTCTTGCAACCCGGACAGTTGGACTTCTGGGGTTTCCTGGCAAGGCCCGTGCCGCCAATCAACGCCCCTCGTCAAATCCTCGAATCCCAGTAGCGGACCTCTCCAAACGGCGCAGTCACTATGGACAGGAAGGTCCGGAGGAGTCCAGCTTAGGATGTTAGAAGCTTGAAAGGCTTGCTTTTGCTGACAGCCGAAGCAGGGTGATGGGCCCAGTCGAAACAAGTGATAAAGTGGGATGCTGGACCCGGTTTCCAGCAGGTGCTGCTCCCCACCAATAGACTGGAGCATCCAGAGGTAGGGCTGCTAGGGGAAGATGCTCATATCACTCCCCATAGCAAGCTGTTTCTGGTTCGTTAAAAAAAATAAAAAATAAAAAAGGAAGGAAGAAGACAAGGACGATGACGAGGAGGAAAAAGAGGAGTAAGAAGAAGACAAATGCATACCCGTTGGATGAGTCATCATCACACGGTAGAATGTTGCTGCTGGCTTCGCACCAGTACTCTCAGGATCAACAACTGCCACACGATCCCCTTGAATCTGAATGAATTCATCAGGATTCAAAAATATACAGCACCTCAGGTCAATCATCTGTTGCATTTTGTTATAATACCTCAACTCTGGAATGAGAGCACCATGCATTCACACAGCAACACGAGTCTCACAAAAGCCAGATCGCACACAAGCCGAACATATGTGAATGAAAATTATCGAATCCAAAAGAAGTCTCGGAAATTGGAACAAGTCACCAAATTGTCTTCTTCTTATAGGCAGCTATGGCCGCTCACACACAATGCAGGTGGCCTCACACATATAGTCTCTCTACTACTACTACTACTCACAGGTCACACTCACGTTCCTCTCAGAATGTCTTCCACTCTCGCACGCTTCTCTCTCTCTCTCTCTCTCTCTCTCTCTCTCTCTCTCTCTCTCTCTCTCTATCTATCTCTCTATCTATCTATCTATCTCTTTCCCTCTCTCTCTCTCTCTCTCTCTCTCTCTCTCTCTCTCTCTCTCTCTCTCTCTCTCTCTNCTCTCTCTCTCTCTCTCTCTCTCTCTCTCTCTCTCTCTCTCTCTCTCTCTCTCTCTCTCTCTCTGTGTGTGTGTGTGTGTGTGTGTGTGTGCATAAATATATATATATATAGCTATGGCGCCAGGCGCCAGGCGCTGTCGACTACCCTAAAGCTACTCTCTCATCTACTCAGCCGTCACATCAAGGTACGAAACCACAGCAGCACTTCCGCATCAAGCCAGCAGTATAATCTGTCAACGTCCAAGCGCCGGACTTCTGTCCTGCTGCAGCTTTGCTTCAGCCTCTGATGTTCGTACCCGTTCCCCTGTAGCCGCGGCCGGCCTCTGACATTCCGAAGTCGCGGCCTTCCGGAATAAGCTGTGACTAACAATGTTTTGGACAGACACACTTCCAGGGCCCACTGACTTGTAGGGACCCCAGGGCCTAAAAATAACTGTCGACTTCATATGGCATGAACCTAAACTATGGGCCTCTCCGACATCATATACTGGACCTACCGGATGGGACTATGGGAAACTGAACCCTCAACCTTAGCCTTGGCAAGGCTATACTCTACCATTAAGCTATTTCCGCCATCAATCCACTTTGTGGTGCGCTCGCCGTGAGATGAGAGGCCGAAGGAAAGAAAATCAAATAAAAGAAAAGAAAACGCTCTTGCGAGCGCGGATGTGATAAGCTCAGATCCGTACGGCGCGGCTTGCCGTATCCTTGAGGGAAAACCCCGCGGAAGCCCCGAAGTACGGACGCAGATAGAAAGGGGGTTTTCTTTCTTTTTGCTTTTGTTTTCTTTTTGAAACGGCCTTTTTTTCATTTTGTTTGGTTAATAACTCCCGCGGGCGAATAGCGGCCGTGGTATGAAAATCAAGAAACGGGTGCGGTTGGGACTTTTTGAATTTTAGCGCGCGCGCCCAAGCTCCAATTTCTTCGCGCGTCTCGCATCCCCGTTTCTTGCTTTGCATCCTCGCGCCATCTTCCCTTCTTGCTGCGCGCATTTTCCCCATGCCGGACTCTTCGTCTTCCCCTACGCCCAGCTTGATCCTTACCCTGTCTTCCTCCGCGAAGTGATTGGCTGCGTAGTTGGGATGCTCGGATCAGTGTGGAAAGCAGGAAACCGCGCACCACTTGAACGAACACCCCAATCATGTAGCCATGCAATCCCGCGGGTCGAACCCCCTAACTCCCCACCTCTCTCTCCTGTCCTGCTCATCAACACCCTGCGCTGCCCGCACCTTGCGCTATTAACCCGCCGCCTCCCGCGCTATAAATTTGCGCAACCCTCTCCTTTCCTTCTCTTTGATCTCGGCTGCAATGTTGCGCGATCCATGCGCGAGAGTCCGCGGCGCCGAACAGGCTCGACGAGCCCAAGGACGGGCGGAGTGACAACGTGGGGTGGACCCCGCGGTAGTCTCGGGGCGAAGCAGTCGGAGGGACTGAGCAGTGGTG